CCCCCCCCAAAGTCACTGTTTGGATAATACATATGATTCTGTTTTAGATTAATTGCAAATCACTCCCTTAGAGTTATTTACTTTGCAGATCAACCCTCCCCTGCCTCTGAAGTCACTGTCTTGATAATACATATTATTCTGGTTTAGATTAATTGCAAATCGGTCCCTTAGAGTTTTTTACTTTGCAGATCCAACCCTTCCCCTGAAATCACTGTCTTGATAGTGTGCATACGAGTCTGGTTTTGTCAAAGCTATCTGATAAAAGGGTATGCTTTGAAATTTCCTTTAATACAAGGGTATGGTTTGCAAAATATACAGAATACAAGGGTGTGGGCTGAAACATAGGAGGCAGTTGAAGACAAAAGTTGAAAACTTGTTAAGTTATATAAGGGAGGCAGTCCAAGTTGTTGGAGTTGCAAGACAAACAAGACATTGATTCTCTCAGAGCTTCACAAAAAAATATGAAACCTTTGATCTGCAAATCATTGGTTCCAATTCTCTGCTCTTTTCTACTGATGTGTTTTCTTCCCACTCCAACTCAAGCTGCAAGACTTCTCCTCCCGGTTCCTCGGGTTGCTTCTACATCGTCATCGCTGTATCGAGTTGATGTTCTTCATCTTCTTCCTCTCACAGCTCGGAAGCTCCATGAAACAGCATCATCTACTTCCTCCAACCTTCGCCGAATACCTCGTAGCGGCCCGAATCCAACACAGAACAGGTAATGATTCTGAATCCTAGTTCGGTTTCTGTTTTGTGTTAATGTTCGAGTTTTGACTCATAGATTGTTTTGTTTTGTTTTGTTTTGTTTTGGGGATAGAATGAAGCCTGAGTTGAGAAGCTAAATCTTAGAGGGATCATCAAGATGAACAAGAAACAGAGATGTTCAAAGATTCTCAAAACCAACCATTACTTTAGTTTTCTTTTTTCTTTTATATACTAAGAAACAAGATTCATAGCTATAGAAATACAGTAGTACTGACTTATATACATCAGAACTTCTTGTGTGTATGTGTAGAATCTCAATGTTAATCAAATTTTACCACTTTGATCTGTTTCTCGATATCGAGTTTGTCGATCCGAAACTTATACAAAGATGATGATCCGTTGTATCATTTGAGCTCTGCGACCCCAACTCGATCCATGTTCGATCAATCAATTACTTCAAATGTTCTATCAGATGAGAGGCTGATGAATTCCAACAAGAAGGTTGATGAGTTATTATCCACAAGGATGAGAGCAAGTTTGATGTAGGCCATTGTTAGTGACCATTCAACAAGAACAGGAAAGAAAAAAGGTTCATAAATAAACAAAGGAAATGAGAGAGAGAGAGAGGGAGAGAAATGTAATCCTAAATCTTATGGATGAGGAATGGCTTCAAATCTAATCCAAATAGTTTGGAGGGCCCAAACCTCATAAGGATTGGGCTAGCTGTTTGGACTTTATAAAGGTACCCTTAAGGTCTCGTTTGATAACTGTTTCGTTCTTCAAATATACGGTCGTTTCTCATATTTTTTAACTATGATTTCTACGGTTCTAGGAAAAACATTTGAATTCTTAGTCGAGCTCTAGTAAGGAAAAAAAAACAACCACCAATTGAATTTCCTCGGTTTTAAACACGTGAGTGATAATGCAGGGTTTTCTAAGTTTTCAAAACCACATAAATCGAGATATTTTTTTTATTTAAAAAGATGTGACATTATATCAAAAAAAATTATTAAAGTTTGGTAATAGACGAGCTGACTCCCTCAAGATAAACCTATTAATTAAGAAGAAATCCGAAGATATTAAACTTTTTGACGTTACAAAAATTAGGCGACGTAACATGTTATAATAATATATAAAAGTGTCGGGTCAAATTAACCGAATTTAGTCAACCAGCTAGAACGTGCAAATCCCATTAATTAAATCAATCAAAATCGAATCGATCGGCCAACTCTCCGTGAAACCGAACCAACCGACATTTATTTATTTTTATTTTTTATTTTTCGAAAAAAAAACCCTAGTAAATATATTTAAAATGTAGGGGAAAAAACAGTGATAAGATATAAACAATATACGTGGGAGGGTCCCCTTCAATGGGATCACATCGCCCATAGACAAGTCCTTGACCATTGACCAAACTTTTACGGAGACTTTCCATCGTCTTCCATTGCTGGTGGGGCCCATTTGACACGTGGCAATTTCAGACAATTAGTACTAAAGGATCCACACGTGGGGTGTGGGCCCCACTCTTTTGTCAAAGCGGCGGCTGCGGACTTCCACTCGCATTTAAATACACTTTTGAAAATTTTAAAAGTACGCTACACAAACATATGTGCGTATAATTAGAAAAAAAATAAAAATAAAAAATATATTATTTGATGAAAATAAATTATATTTCTTAATTTTTTAAAAACTAACGTTAAATATTTAATTACAGGCTTTTTAATTAATCATATATATCTAAACTAATTAAATTATATTTACGTGGACAATTTTAATTTATAAATATTATTAAAAATTGCATGCCCATAAATTTTTATGCAAATTTATTTTTTATTTTAATTTACAAAAAAGATGAATTTAAGGTGGGCCCGGAGCAGATAACGTCGGTGGATGGTGGGACGCTTTTTAATTAATTATTTATTTATATTTGGTGACGTGGTAAAGTGGATACATTTTTAAAAATAATAATAAATAAAAATAAATAAAATAGAAATCACGTGATAAACCGTGAAATTGAGTTTGATTTTTCGGCGATGTGATGGGTTTAAAGCCTTTGTTAAAAGTAACACTAAAACACACCCTCCACATGAATTTATTTATTTATTATATTATATTAGTTTAATTAAACCTCCTTATCCCTCTTTTTAATGGTGCCACGTGTTACGTGATTAAATATCTAACTAAGCTTAGTGCTAGAGTGATTAGATTATAAATGTTATTTAAATCATATTATAATATTGTATAAGTTTCCTCTTCTTCCCTATTGTTATCAATTTCACGATTTAATATATAGTTGTGTCGGATTCATTTATTATGCCCTAAAATGGGTGATTTCATATTAATGACGAGGTAGCTATCAAATTCACAGGTTAACACATAATTGTGCCGAATTTAATCGTGTTTAGCCTCGTTAAGAGTAAAAACCAACATGTCGCTCGTCGATCGATGTGATATGTGCTCGTATTTTGACTAGGTTTTATTTTTTGATGATAAAAATAAGCTCGTAATGCCGTACGGTACTACTTCACTATCGGTCCCCCAGGAGTATTTAGCCTTGCAAGGTGGTCCTTGCTGATTCACACGAGATTCCATGTACCCTAAGCTACTTGGGTCATAGCGTAAGCTTGTAATGCTTTCAGCTACTAGACTCTCGCCATCTAGGGTGCAGCACTCCACTGCTTCACCTAGCAGCACGACGCAAGTAGACGGATAAATTCTTGTTTGAGAGGCGACTCAAGTGCTATATTTTGTTCGATAAAAAAATATTATATATATATTTATATATTAATTTAGTTAGCTGGCGTGTCACTTGCATGATCAGCGTTGAACCCTTTCGTGGGTCCCACCATTAATCTATTATTATAATTATGTGTTATTTCAAACCTCAAAAAAATAAAAGCTGAGACTTTTTCTTGCCTTAATTTAAATAAAAAAATTATTTTATTTATTTAATTGTTTTGTCACAAAAATTATTAAATTTAAGTTATATATATATATATATATATACACACACATTATTTATTCTCCACTTTATTATTTAATTCAAATAAAAATAATAATTTTTGTCAACTCAATTAAAAAAATATTTTTCATAAATTCTCGATTCACAGTCAAATCTCTAGATGATTTCACATATTTACTATAGGTCCGTCAACACGTCACAAGTCAAAATCGACCTAATTTTAATTCATAATGATAAAAAATTATCTCCTAATTCAATTTAGTTTGTTTTCTTCTGCTCAATTAAACGATAATTTATCATTAAAATATTTTTTATTTCATAATTATTTTTAATATAAGATATTTTCAAAATTTTGACGTCACTTCCAACCATTTTTATTTTTTTGCAGTTTTAGGTGACTATTTTATATTAGGTAATTTGTTATATGGAATAATAATCCTTCAAAGATTTATTGACACTAAAAACTTTCCCAACAAAAATAAACATTTATAGTAAGTTCCGTACGGTCCTTTTTTTTTTCTTGCATTTATCCAGATATTTTCTTTGTAAAATTTTAGCCGATTATTTAAAAAATAATAATAATGCATTTAAGATAATTTATTTATTTATTTTAATTATTTTCCAAGTAAGTCAATATTATTTATTTATTTATTTAACGTTGGAAATTAATTAAAACTCGGAATTATAATTAATGATTGGGTGCGTGGAAGCCAAGCGGTGCCTTTTATTAATAATAATAAATTGAAACGCGAAGAGTCGCTTCGCACGTTTATAAATATTTGGATAAAATAATTTTGATTGAATTAAGAAAAGAAAAAAGGTGCATATTGAACACGTGTCGGAATCTGGAAGTGAGAGCATGGATTATATAATGAGAACAAAACAGGGGAAAATAACCTCACATGCAAAATTCCAAACGGCAGTTCTTAAGAGGTTTAACCGCGGTTTGAAACGTTAACCCAACTACGGTTAAATACTGGAGATCGTGTTAAGTCTCCTTCTCCCCTGGAATTTTACTGTTTGTCTTTTTAATTTGAGGACCCACACCATTTTCTCTTTCTCTCTCTAGTTTCAGAGAAGAGGATAATAACAAAAGCCTCGGCACCGTCACTTACGTTTCTCTCTCTTTTCTCTGTGTTTGATGAGTTTCCGTGGAGAGGGAGAAGATTTTCAATGGCTTATGGAAGGTAAAATTGAATCTCTGGAAATGATAGTGTGTAATTCTTGTACTATTTCGTGATTTTTTGCTGGTTGATTTTGTTGTTTTTGGTTTTGCTACTGTTTTGATATGTGAATTTGATTACTGGAGTTTGAAATTGTGGTATATTTTCGTTTTTCAATCAAATTTGGTTGTTGTTGTGGATGTAGCTCTTCTGTTTTTTATGTTTTATTTTTTTATTTTTTATTTTGATTTAGTTTGTGTTGATCTCTTGCTATGATTATCCATTCCGTAGTTTGCGGTTGGAAGTTCTTGGATACTTTTTCATTCTGAATTGTTTGTTATCGGGTGAGTTATGCGCTTTTTCGGCATGTTGTTTGATGAATACAGGCGTTTCGTCTGGTATGTATTGCTTTCTTTGCAAATTAAGCCACTTATTCTCCTCCTCAACGCCTTTGAGCATTATGTTAGTTGTTGATTGTCGTCGTTTATTTCTCTTCGTTCCGGGATGAGATTTTGATCGACTCCGAGTTTCTCGATCTAAAGGCTGCTGAGGCCGTCTTCTTTTGTTATTTAAGTGGAGTTTCAGTCGGCGTTAATATAAATTCATGTGAAGCATTAAGTCTTATCTCTGTTTTTGGTCATAAAGTTGGTTTAGTTTTGCTTTAGAGACGGATAAATTTGCTGGAAATTTTTTGGTTGAAGATTATACGCGGATCGAATGTGGCGTTTCTTACACGCAGAGTTTCCAATCTTATTGTTGAGTGTGTGTATCGGAAGCGAATAATTAGGAACGCTTGAATTACTTGCAGTCTGATATTCATGTTGATTTCTTCTTTTTCTTCTTCTTCTTCTTCTTTTTATGTTGAAAATACATCTTATGATAATTGAATCTTGGATCGATTTTATATTATCTTTTGATTTTCTCTCTCTTACATAATATATTTTGATCTGTCTTTTTTTTTTTCTCTTTATCAAGTGATTAAATGACTTTCTCTTCTAGAATGAATGATTTTTTTTTTCTTTCCCAGGTTGAAAATATATAATCTATAGTTTTAATTCGCTTGTGCATATACTTGTTGTTTCTTCTACGCTTGTTTCTTTTATTTATTTTATATGATGTGTTTGACTTAGTATTATTATTATTTTTCAAGTGTTCTGTTTTCAAAGTAATCCTGCTTCTTGAGGTAGCACTTAAGCTTTTCACCAATTATTGAGTTGTTAATTTTTTTACAGGATATGTTGAATGATCGATTTTCTGGGATGTTTCGCCAGAACGTGAAATTCTGTGGATCTTAAAATCGCCTAAGTCATCATCAGTCATCATTTTTGTTTGAAAAGTGCTTAGATAAGAAAGCAATCCCATCTTCAAGCAAATTGTTTGAAGCTAACGATATTGGGGTTTAATTAATTTCTTTTGTTACTGTGGTTTGTTCCAATGATGAACAACATGGGAATCTTTGAAGATATTAGCTTTTGCCAAAATCTTGAATATTTTTCAGCTCCTCCTGGGGAACAGGAGACAGCTCGGGAGAATGAAGCTGAGGCTACTTTGGAGGAAGATTACAGTGATGAAGAGCTGGATGTTGATGAGCTTGAGAGAAGGATGTGGCGAGACCGAATGCTTTTGAGGCGACTCAAAGAACAAAGCAAAGAGAAGGAAAGCGCTGATAATTCAAAGCAGCGTCAATCCCAGGAGCAAGCCCGAAGGAAGAAGATGTCTCGGGCTCAAGATTGCATCCTGAAATATATGTTGAAAATGATGGAGGTCTGTAAGGCTCAAGGATTTGTGTATGGGATCATTCCTGAGAAAGGAAAACCAGTAAGCGGAGCATCTGATAATCTTCGCGCCTGGTGGAAAGAGAAAGTCAGATTCGATCGAAATGGCCCTGCAGCTATTGCCAAATATCAGGCTGAACATGCGATTCCTGGGAACAATGATGACTGCAATACAGTGACATCCACTCCTCATACTTTACAAGAGCTCCAAGACACAACCCTTGGATCACTTTTGTCAGCTCTGATGCAGCACTGCGATCCACCCCAAAGGCGTTTTCCATTGGAGAAGGGAGTTTCCCCACCGTGGTGGCCCTCCGGAAACGAGGAATGGTGGCCTGAATTGGGACTACCTAACGATCAGGGGCCACCCCCTTATAAGAAGCCCCATGATCTGAAGAAGGCTTGGAAAGTCAGCGTTCTTACTGCTGTGATTAAGCATATGTCACCTGATATTGCGAAGATTCGCAAGCTTGTTCGTCAATCTAAATGTTTGCAAGACAAGATGACTGCAAAGGAGAGTGCCACATGGTTGGCAATTGTAAACCAGGAGGAAGCTATGGCTAGGAAATTGTATCCTGATAAATGCCCGCCTATGCCGATATGTGGGAGCGGATCTCTTTTGATCAGTGATACTAGTGATTACGATGTTGAAGGAGTAGAAGATGAACCAAATGTCCAAGCAGGGGAAAGCAAACCCCACGATCTCAATTTCTTTAATATGGGGGCCCCTGGACCTAGAGAGAGGCTTGTTATGCCCCCTGTGGGAACTCAGATCAAGGAAGAATTCATGGAGAACAATTCGGACCTTAGTCGAAAGAGGAAGCAGCTGACAGATGAGTCAAATTCAATAATGAATCAGAAGCTATATACTTGCGAGTATTCTCAATGCCCATATAACAGTCAGCGCCTTGGGTTTTTCGATAGGACTTCAAGAAACAACCACCAGTTGAATTGTCCATTTAGGCAGGATTCTTCGCATATATTTAGCATGCCAAGCTTTCAAACTAATGGTGACAAATCATCATCCCCAGTTCCTCCATCCTTAAATCATTCTAAGCCACCACCTATTCGGTCAATGAACCCGACTCCACCCTTCAGGGTATCAGGACTTGGACTTCCGGAAGACGACCAGAAAATGATTTCAGAACTTCTGAGTTGCTACGATTCTAACCTCCAACAGGACAAGAACACATTGAATCCTGGTAATGTCGATGCTAGAGGTGATCACAAGCCCAACCAACAGCTGCCAAAATTCCAACCCCAAGTCGACATTAACATGTATGGCCAAGCAGCGATCGTGGGAAATAACATGCCAATACAGCACCCCGACATTTCTTCCACAAAATTTCCATTTGAAGAATACAAGGCGGCAGCATTTGATTCTCCGTTCAGCATGTATCCCAACGATAGCATCCCAGACTTAAGATTTGGTTCTCCTTTTAACCTTGCATCAATTGATTATGCAGCAGCAGACACACCATTGCCCAAGCAAGACACACCCTTGTGGTACCTTTGACGCCAAAGTCGTGTACAACAACTCGCATTGATCGCACCAATGATAGGAAGTAAATATATTTTCAGAGGGAGGAGGAAAAGACCATCTTCATGCCATGCCCTAAAGAAGGTGAAACTTTCTCCTATCTATATGCTAGTTGTTTAATACACACACACACACACACACACATACACATAACATATGCTTTGTGTGTTTAGATGGTTCTGTTCTGCAGCTACATACATTATTAAGACGCTTTTAAATAATGTAGGATGATATAATAATATAATGCTACCCAGTGTAGTAGTAGTAGTAAAGTAAAGAAGGCGAGTTCGGTAGTAGAGGAATCTTAAGCTCTCAATTATTAGTGTATTTCTGGGAACTTAAAACGTACTTGTTGCTTTTGAATGTTTATATTATATTGGATATTTTTCTTAAAACTTATGGATGCCAATTTACTTTTTGATTAGCTGAAGTACATGTAGTTTTATGTATCTATTTACTTTATTGTGACATTCATGCATTTGATTTTTTTCTTTTTTTAAAAATAATTTTTAACAATATTACGTAAGATGGGTATGGGGGATGAATGAGGGATTTGAGCTTAAGGGGTTCAAGTTGGCATATTCATGCATCTGGTTGGGGGTGCTTGTTTATTGTGAACCAGCCAACAAACAAGGAGTTAATTAGATTTAAATGATGAGGGGATGAATTTTTCTTGTTTTTTTTTTTTTTTT